TCAGAAATCGCTCCCTTGTACGTTTTAAATGATTCTCCTCATTTGAGTATATAATTTATGTTCACGGCCATGGTTCATGGAAGTTATGAAGGACACAAGGACGCTAAAATTCGGATACGAAGCAGTCGTAAGTCTGAAGTGAAGACTCAGGTACTCAGCGAAAGTTTTAAACTACAGCAAAGTTCGCTAAAGAATTTTGACCAATCCCTCTATTCGAGTATCAGATAGAACAATAAAATAAGTCGAAATTTATTAGTAAGATTTCAGGTGCTCATGGCGGAGAGTATGAAAATCTTTGTTTTTGGGTTATAACGTCGAGTAGTCTGGTAGCCATCTTATTGTTTACCCAAGGGATTTTCCTGAAGTAAATGTGCGGTATGTTCAATTTTTGTTCAAAACTTAGAAATGTAATCTGTTCATCTCGCCGTTTATTGTCTCTAAGTTGTACATAGAATTATGTGATTAACTGAAAGAAAAACGAGTATTTGATCTGGTTGGCAATGAACTCGTGTCTTCAGAACTCGGAGACTATAGTTGGAGTTGTCATGTTACTTTTTAAACACACAAGCCATATTTCATCTAAAGCCTCAATTTGTGTCGCATTTCGCAATGGACCTGTCGTCAGACAGAACACTACAAAAAAAATATATACAATTTATATAATTTAAATTGTACTCAACTACCTCACATCACAGGTCCATACTTTATTTAATAACTGTGTGTCAGCTATAAATTACGAACTGCATGTAACTAGCACAGGATAGAATCCGGTGGCGGGCTTTTGTGAACACGGTGATGAACCTGCGGGTTCCATAAGAAAGTGGGTTATTCTTTGACAAGCCGAGTATACCACACAATTGACATTTCAAAGAATATCCCGCATCACATTAGTTAGTGAGTGAGTGAGTGTGTGAGTTAAATATTTATTTTTTATTTTATATTATTTATTTATTTGGTGTTCTGTCTGACGACAGGTCCCTATGAACAGGATCCTTCCATCCTTTTCTCGGACTGGGACCTTTTCATATACGTTCTTGGCAGATGATCCAGAAGTGGTTTGCCATTGCCTTCTTCTGTGTGTGAATGGAGTAATTGTTGGGATGCCACGGAGAAACCGGGGAAGCCCCGGGAGGAAAACTCCGTGTTGCCTAGACCACGGCCTTGCCCAACACAAGTTATAAATTCGGGCACCGCCGGGAATCGAACCCGAGGCCAGCGTTCTAACCGCTAGTCCACCGTGACTATGGCATTTCGCACGTAACGTTTTACAATTTACTGTCGCGAAACGAGAAATTGGTTACGTACTAACAAATTCGTAGTTATTTTCATTTTGGAAATATCGCAAGACCGTCATATTTTGTCTTTGTACGCAGGGTATTAAGAAATATGGCGTCGGTTGATATTTAATTTATAGCATGCATTTGCTATCGAATTCTGCCGAAGAGTTCGATACTCTTTCGATGAGGGAGGAGAAATATGTATAGGACTATAACAGTGACGTACGTTTTGACCAAATAATATGACACTGACGCTCTTATGTTGAAAAACGTGCAATAATAAATGTCAACATTCCGGCATACTAATTCATCTGTTTATATACTCCCCCCCCCCATAACTTCCCCTTCGTACACATGCAGTACAGTGAAAGAGTAATGAATGGGTTAACTTGGGGGGCACTTTTAATTAAAATACATAAAAAACGTATGTTTAGAATGTTCAGACTAAACGTTCTCTATAAATGCAAGATTGAGTTATAGTCAATTGGCGGAAATTTGTGATATTCTGTAATTAAACTGCACAATTGCACTCACGAGGAAATTAAAACCAGAATAAATAAATTCGGGGAATGTTTCTACCTTGCAATTCAGAGCCGTCTTTCTTCCAATCAGTTACTTAAAGATGTAAAGACAGACCTTACGAAATTATAATTTTATCCACTGTTTTGTATGTGTGTAAAATTTGGTCTCTTACGTTATGGGAAGAACACAGATTAGAGGTGTTTCAGAATGGGGTACTGAGGAGAAAATTTTAAACTAGGAGGGATGAAGTTACAGGAGTCTTGAGAAAATTGCGTAACTTGTGTGTTATCGCGATGATTTAGTACTGGGGGGGGGATATTTTTACAGCATTAAAATTTTTAGTAATGCAGTGGCAGTTAACTTTATTTTAATTTGAAGTTGGAACATCGGTTACAATATTTGGGATGAAGTCTGAAAATACCCTACGAATTTATCTGTAGTGCCAAAAATATGAACATTTTTAGGGTCATTTTTTACTGATTTAAAAGTTTATTTTATTTTTACAATTAAAACAATCTGTACATACCTCAGTATTGTTTATTCAAAATGGCTATGCACGTAGGTAATTCAGCTATTTGTGGGGACGTTCATTGTGTTCCTCTCCCTGATAGAGAAGTCGAGCGATGAAGCTTTCTGAGGAGAATAAAAACATCTTTTGCTGCATTGCATCTCTTAAGTCATCAATTACGCGAGCGTTAGTGTTGAGCACTTTACACTTGAAACACCCGCTTTAGAAGAAGTCACATGGCTTTGAATCTATATATGTGAGTTCTTCACCTCTAACCTCAATCAAGGGTCTCAGACTTACCCTTTGACCTCGTTTAACACATTAACAGGGCTTTTCCAGTATCTCTGTGAAGTGCTTAGGGCTCCTTGTGGCGTTCTGACACACGCACACAAAACTTTATAAATCAAGCACCAAGACCAATCCAGTGGACAGCAGTGAAGGGAGAATGATGCTAGCGTATCTTGTAGCTCAGACAAGTAAGCCAGGAGTGACTGTATCGTCTGAGAACCAATTATGCTCCTCAAAGGAAGTAATTTAGAACAGGCTTCTGTTTAAGTGGCTTCAAAACTTGCGCAAATTACCTTCTGTGGTCTGATTAATGTTTAAGACCCTAATTACGTGATATCTTGATCTCTACTCGTAGTTCAAATCCCCAAAATTTGGATATGGAAAAGACGTTTTGATATTTTGTCGTCTCGGAGGGAAGTGGCTTTTGTCATCGTGAGTTTTATCAGTATTTTAATTTTATAATTTTAAGATAGTGTAGTTGCGTCATATTGTGACTTATTAAATTATTTGGTTATTCCGTCAAATCACAATGTATTTAAAATAAGATAATTAAAATAATTAAAATATCGTTCTGTGTTCCATATCGAATAATCGATTTACAATTGGAACTGTTCCAACTGTAAATCGCACTCATTGAAATGTTAAAAAAAAGTGTGAAGTTTTTTAACCTATTAATATGTTTAATATAAGAATAAGTCTACAAATGAAGATTTGAGTTGAAAGTTCCCGTAATTTTTTGTTCCGGGAGCATTTATATTACCTAACAAAGAGTTCTCTACCTCTAATGGCGAAGTTAAATCTGTTTCCGGGCGACGCGAATGTACAAAGTAGTTGAGTCGTGAGCTAGAGTGCATTAATCTAAGTAATTTAACAAAGTAGTAAGACCATTAACACTTTAAGGCGTAAACAGTTGTACAGTTTTGTAGGATTTGAGCCATTCAGTTGTCGTCCTGATGATGGAGGCAGTAAGGACCTCTGAAACGTTCGTAAACTTCTACCAGACTACACGGCTCTACAACCCAGAAGACTTTAGATTCACCGCCGTGAAAACCTCAAATCCTACAAACTACTATGCCGTGTCGACATTTATTTAGATGCAAACGTTTCGTAAGAACGTAGTGCCTTTATGTTCATGATTGAAGATGGAGGCAGTATGGTCTTTCGAAACGTTGGTATCTACCCAAAATTCCACAAGGCGTTGATACCCATACTACCAACATTGGCACCTTCAACTCTGTGAGAACTCAAATATAGCGTAATCAACAAATAATATTAGTTAAATTAACGCCGGAAGATTCCGTTGACATAAAAGGTTTTCAGATCTTTGAAAAATTATCTTAAAATAGACAGCGAACCAATTCTTTCTGTTTGTGACCACTGACGAACAGGGTCTTATAAAATAAAATTTTATTATATTTTTAGTGAAAATATTCGTGTTCATTAAGACGTCGAACTGGCGAACCGTTGAAGTTTTTGAGGTTATGTAGTTTTGTTTAAAGTTCCTGAATTTTCATTTTCACAGATTGCGTTTCTGTTTTGTGTGACATTTTATGTAACGCGTAGTTTTGTTTAAAGTTCCTGAATTTTAATTTTCACAGATTGCGTTTCTGTTCTGTGTGACATTTTATGTAACGGAAAATTATATTATGACAATTTATCAGGACACCTAATCGGTAACAGACATATATCAAACATTATCATCAAATTTATTTGTGTAATGGTCGTACAATATATTAATCCATTTGGTTTATGAGTGTGTTTTCATGAAAATGATTGCTAGAGTTCTACTTTATAATCTGAACAAACTACATAGTGAAGAGCTCTACAGTACAGCTCTTGATAAAATGTTATGGCTGTGATCAAAACAAAGACGATGAGATGGGCTAGGCATGTAGTGCGCATGGCGGAAATGGGAAATGAGGGGAGTTAGACCAGCCAGAAGACCTAGAGATACGTGGATTAATAATATTACAATGGATCTAAGGGAATTATGGTAGCGGATTCTCGTGGACGCGGCAATGACCCTTTGGATCCAGTGTAAAACGGGGAATTTATTAACTAGCTGAACGTACTGTTAGCTTCCGTTATCGGTCTCCGTTGCATGGAGTTGGTTATTCATATATACTTTCCATCTTGAAAGTCTTTGGGAATAATATTTTAAGGCTACGAAGTCTTCACGGACTTAAGTTTGGATTGTAACGGTTTGGAGAGGAAGCGATTTGAATGTAATCGTTCCGAAGGAAGCAATGAAACGGCGGCTTTGTCCATGAACAGGTAGACCGCGACGTGATGTAATTCGGTTTCATACTTTTTTTTGTTGTAGTATGGAAGTGGCGTGATTGTTTAACCGCTTTGCCGCAGCGTGGCGCTGTGTGGAGACAGAACCTCCTACCTCAAAGAGTCAACCAACTCTGAAGCTTGTTTTAGTTCCCTCGTGTTCTCCCGGCAGGTGTGACCGAGCATTTGAACGCGCAGAGAATTTTGTGAAGTGTTTCTTTCGTAAGACCACATGGTCACATTGTGCTGTGTTAACGAGGTACTGCTGTAGTATGAAGAACGACTCCATCTTCCACGTCATCGTATCTGCTGTTGTTTTCACAGGTACGGTGTAGTAAAACACGCATTCTTGGAATAGTAATGCCATTTTGTAAGGAAACACCGCGAACATATTACCAAGTGACCTTGGTTGTGATGTTGCAAGCCCTGACTTGTGTGTTTGTGTCATCTGCATCTCACAGTGTTGAGCTTAGTCCTTCGCGAATACGTCGAGCGTTTTTAAGTAACTGTACAATTTCATGGAAGCGAATTCTGAAGCTCTAACTATCCCACAAACTGTTTTTAAACAAGGAGAATTTTTTGAAGATAGGACTTGTTTTGGCGTGTTTGTTGCCAGTGCAAGCTCCTTATCTGAACTAGTGTTTTAAAACAAACTATGAATTTATCAAGGCGAAAATCGAAACGTTGCGTTGTTACTCCTGTTTACCAGTGAAATTATCAAAGCGTTTAAAGTCACATTATGTTAATTTCCTATTTCAGAATAAACAATATAGTCACGCTATGAAAAACTGTGAAAAAATATACAAGGTTAAATAATTTTAACGTGAGGAAGGGACATACTTCGAAATGCGCACACTCGAAGTAAGTTTTGTGTTTCGTTTCTGTATATTTCTTCATTCTTGTAGGGTTTGAGGTTTTCACGGCGGTGGTTATGAAAGTTTTTGTCTTCTGGGCTGTTGCGGCGTGTAGTATGATAGACGTTTCTACCACACTACACGGCTCTACAACCCAGAAGACAGCCATTTTTTTTTCATTCTTGTTAATCACGATTATTTGTGCGAGGCTATTGAAATGACTTGACTTGTTCCTGTTCACAGACGAACGTATTTGCGTGCAACTTAATGTTTAGGCGTACTGTTTGTTCACTCACTTGTCTTGTCCGTTTGAAGGTCGAAGTTTCGTGTAAGTAATACCGGTATTATTTAAAAATTAAGTTCCTACTACAAAGAAAACAAGATGTGCTTCCATTGTTGAGACTCGAGGTTTTCACGGCGACACGTATGCAGATGACAGCCTTGTGGAATATTGCGCTGTGTAGTCTCGTAGAACAGACCGACGTTTTAGATTTGCGTATTGCTTCCATCGTCAGGAATCGCCCTGATGATGGCGGCAGTAAGCAAATGCTAGACGCTCATCCTAGATATAATAATTGTTCGTTGTAGAAACAATCGAAACCTGTAAATCGACTGTGTGTGGGTAAAATGCCAAGTTGTTTAATGATAAAACCACTGTTTATTTAAGGATTAATCCTGGAATAATTATGTTGGTTTATAATAAACTGTAGACCTGTAATACGATGTTTACCAGCTAGTACTTGGATTAGTAAATAAAAAAACGTAATTTAAGTGACAGATTAGGGGACTGCTGTTTATGTCATCAAGTTGTTATATCGACCGTAATCAAATGTTAATTTATTTAATGCTACAGAATTTCAAGTTCGTTGATTTGTTTACTTCGTTTCAACCAAGAGAATCCTACTTTAGTAACGCGCGAATATACAATTAGTTATATCGGACAGAGAAGTGAATTTTGCTGGTTTTGACACGAGATCACTTATCGTGTGTAGTGTAATTACGTAATGGAGGATTTAACGTGTAGAGAGAAAGCCTTCTCGTTTAGACTGGAATGTTCAAGATTTCATTTCGTTCCGTAATAGACAAATAGGTATTTTTGGATTTGTTACGTTGGTTATTAGTGTGTTTACTTAACTTCTATGATCAGTTCTCCAGTATTTAGGTAGGTCTGGTTAAGTACGTGTATTTCAAAATTTACTTCATCAAACAATTTCACGTGACGAGTAACGGGCCCTTGACGGACAAGTCCCACGGCCTTCCGGAAAAGCAATGGTCCGCGTTAACACGGCTTCATGGCGTTCCGCTGTGCGGCCATGCACACCTGCAATGTTTGCTCGGTTTCTCCAGTTCGGAGATATTTTACTAACCTCTCATCGTACTCGGTGTTCTGAAACATTGAGATCCCCAATATTTATAATTCCTGCTTTCATTTCCTTTCCTGGTCAGCGGCTTTGATGACGATGTCTGGTGGAAGGGAGGCAGATACTTTAGAATAGGCCACGACATTTCTGTTTCAAAATCATAATAATTCATGAGATGATATTGTTGCGTCATGTGATGATTATAATTGTTTATTTTAACCGTCTAATCACAATAAAATATTACTTCTAGACGGACCTCCTCCACTCTTCATATATGGCCGATTCTTTCTGTTTTCCATAATAGATTATCTTTGAAAGAAGCACATAATTTATGATTTATTCATGTTTGCACGCAACATAAAGTTGTTAATGATGAGATAAACTGTAATAAATTATATATATTTTTTTTAATCGAGTGCTACTTCGCGAGTGACAGAATTACGAAATGAGATAACTTCAAACTGATATTTTATATTTTAATATTTTAATATTTTCCGTCAAATCACAATTTTAATAAGATAATAAAATATAAAATATTTAAAATATCATTTCACGTTCCGCATCGAATGATCGATTTACCTAATTCACAATATGACGCAAATATACTACCTTTCAAACTGATGGTTTTTATTTGAAGTTTAATCCCGTTATCGTTTAGAATTGTCACGTAACTTATTCATAAACAATTCACCTCGAAGTAGGATTATGATTATGTTTACTGCTGATTTCCAAATCTGAAATAACAGAAAAATGAAATAAAGTCTTGTCTTATCAGCATCAGAGGGATTAGGAAATGTGTTTGTTTGATAAAACTGTTTTTGCGGCGAGGGAATGCTAATTTTAACGACACTAATGCTTTTTGCCTTGTACTGACATGAGTGCAAATCAGTGTTAAAATTATTTCTTCTGAGACGCTGATGCGAGTTGCATTTGCGCATGCGTACCATGGAAGATTTTTCTTTTAAGAAGCTCTATGCGTTCTTTACTAATACTTAACGCAATCTGATTTTTATATTATTTAAATAAATGTAAGATAGTGTAATTGCGTCATATTTTGAATATTATAACAATTATTTATTTTAATCCGTCTAATCACAATATTTAAAATTTCTTATAATTAAGATAATAAAATATCATTGATGTTCCATATCGATTGATCGATTTACATTTCGGAACATTTACACAACATGTTTCGGTTTTTATAAAACCATCATCAGGTGTAAAATATATCTAAGAACTTAAAACTCAATTATGATTTCTGTAGT